TGCGAATCACCAAAGCGTTTGAAACAGGCAAATTTAAACCAGCGATGCTAAGCATCTCGGTAACGAATTTCCTCTGTCATACTTGATGTTTGTTGTCACTTAATTTTAGGACTAAAACGAAGGACGTTTTTAGGAGAAAGTCTTATAACAAATCAAAGCATAGGAATCTTACAAGCCTTTGAGATTAGCGTGATGCATGTGGATGAATCAATAAAGGAGGACTTGTTTATTTTCGATACGAAACGTGGCAAGTTCAAGTTGCACGGCAATTCCGATCAGAAGAAAGTCATTGACGCATTGTGCTGATGTGTGTTTCTCGCTTCACCTCTACACTAAAATTTTAAGTGAGAATGGGAAAGAAAAAAGAAAAGACCTGACAGTATCCTGTAAAGTATTATGCTATATGCAGTCCGAACCGGGAAGAAAAGTCACGGTGCATTTGACCATGTCCAATGATGATGTTTACAGTTTGATTGCTGATAGTATTTTCATCAGGTAATTATTTAACTATTTATTTTACTGAAAGTTATGAATGAACGATGAATAAACGGTACAAGGATGTCAGGATGTGACTAATATCCCAACATTGCCGAAAAATGAAAAAAAAAATGCATTCATTCAAGAAATTATGAAAAATAAAATCCTTGCTGTTTAGGCCTCAGAACAGGTATTCCATTGTTCAAGTTACCTTTTTAAATGAGGTTTGATTTTAATTAATATCTCATTTTCTAATTAATAAAAAAGAGATACAGATTGTGCATGACAAGAACATTAATTTTCTTGATCAAGCATTTGCATTTCACTATTTTACAATAATTTCATATTGATTCTTCATTCATTATATTGGAAATTTATTCATTTCATTGAGTGAATGAAACTCAGTGCAATTCCTTATGCTATTCAAAAAATGCAATTCCTTAAATGTTATTGTAAAAGTGAACACATGTGATTTCAGATCATGGGTCATTAATTGGAATAGATAAGAACCAAAAAAAAAGTACTTCAGTGTTTTCTTAAAAGATTTGTGCCATCAATCAAAGTAGAGGTCATCCCATATCAGCTCAAGAATATTAAAGAAATTTGGATGGATCAAGCTAAGATGTTGAACCAGACATGGCAAAATCAATGGAGATTTGGAGAAGACTTCTGACTTGTAATACCCAATGCATATTTTATATGTCTATAGATTATAGAAGAAAATTTAATGTTCAACAACATCCTATCTAGTATATACATGCTGTTTTCCATATATTTAGAAAAGATGTGTATGTGATGATTGCAGTTCATGCTCTGCTTGTCCATCTTTGAATTTGTTTTCAGTAAAATAAATGTATACATCATAGGTATTAAAGGTTGCTTTTGTCTATACTTACATGTGACAAGTTTCTTTAAAGGGTTTGTAAAATTGCAAGGAAATTAATACATGAACAATTAGGATTAACATTTTTATTCATTTAATTTTGTTCTTACCAGGACCGAATATGCTCAAATAAGTATTTCTGAAAACTGACGAGATTGTATATAAAGCTGCAGTGAACATGTATAATTATATCTACTGTAACAGTTTAAAACATTACACTTGGCAATTGTAAGGTTGTTAATTTAGTAGGAAAGATAAGACCAATTTATTAATCTAACAAAATTAAATTTTTTTCACAATAACGTACATGTAGTTTATTTTAAAATTGTTTACATTTATAATCTTTTAATTTTTTTCTGTATTTTGATTTTAAAAAGCAGAAAATTTTGTTATATTTAAATTATTATTTCATGGATATCAAGGAAATATATCTATCACTGTAGCATTGTTTCTTTTTACCTGTTCTTGACAAATATTTATCATACTGACAGTGTTATGTCATTTTGCAGAATTTGCCTTTTCTCTGAAATCAGAAGTACTCTGTAAACTCATTTAAGTATGAATTGATGTCACTTAGAATTCATCTTTATTTTGTTCTGTCTGATATTTCAATTTAGAGTCTAAGACTTTCTAATCCAATGATTGAGCTAATGTCCATGAAGTGTAGAAATAGGCCATCTTTAAAAAATGTTTGTTGTCGGCCTCTCCAGACCGACTGACTAAAATGACCAGACTGAAAACTTTTTTTTCAATGCAGGGCAGTATTTTTTTTTCTTTTTATTTCTCTTATCCCCCTTAAAAAATGTTGTTGAATATTTTCTCACCTTAACTGACACAATAATTTTACCCTGAGTCGAGAGGGCAAACAAACATTACTTTAAAGATAGCATTTCTACTCTTCGAAGTAAAGAAATAATTTAATTATAAAAACAGCAGCTTCGTGGATGCAATGCTTACAACATTTCACTCAAAAAGTGGCATACATGTACAGTGTATAATGACAGTCACCAACCATAACTGAATAAAGATATTTTGCTACAAAGATGTCTAGAAGTTACTACATGTTGGAATAACTAATCAGCATGAGGTCAAATTCATAGGCTTTTAATTGGTTTAGTTGCAACATGTTCTGAAGTATGTTTATATACATAAACATGTACTTCTAAAGGTGTTGCAATATAATTCATGGACAATTTCATTAGAATATTCAGATTAAAGATTGCCATAAATACTAGAGTTCTTCCATGGAATAAATTTTTAGACCATCATGTAGCACAGGAAGAGTTTTATTTTGAATATTTTTGGCCAATTTATGCCTAAAAACAACATAAAAAATAACATTAGTCTTTAACATTCACCATGACAAAGTGATATCAATGTTGTCTTTAAAAGTGTAAAAAAGCCTGGTTTTTATGTTCCGAACCCATAATATAGCCCCTGTTTCCATGGAAATAATATTGGGGACATACATATTTTTTCAGTTCATATTAATGAAAATGATCAAATTAATAACTTCATGGATTTTGATGGAATTGGTAGATATGTAAAACGTTGGTTTTTCTATTTTTGTTGCCATGGCAACGGTTTCACTTTATCAAGGAAAATTGAAAAATCTTCTTTTTTACCCAAATTTACACATTTTTGATAAAGGAAAATTAAAAGTTTAAATAATAGAAGCATGAATTATACTAATTCCGGTCGTTTTGATGATAAAAGTTTGATAATTTATAAAATAAATCAATTTTTTCAATGAGAATAATATTCGAGGTGAAATATGAAATACGTTAAATTTGGCGTCTTTTACTCAAAAAATGAGACGGGCAATATCTTTGAAAATCATACTAAGTGGTGAAGCTAATCTCCCTGAATAAATTGATATATAGCATGTGTGCATATTAAGAAAAATATGAGTTGGAGGGAGACGCAAACCTTACCTTAAAAATAACGATCCGTCTACCTTCGTTTCGAAATTACACCTTGTACTGCAATAGTAGCAACAGAACGATCGTGTAAAATAAATCGGGTGGGGAAGAAATTTTTTCTAAAGGATTACTGCTTAGAACATTGCAAAAATTTCTATTTCCCTTATATAACATGAAAAAGGGAGGTTGTACGAAAACGCTCGATGTTGTCACACATTGTCCAAAAAGAAAGACTTTTAGACAGTTTGAGCGATATGAGAAACTTTAAGTTTGTCTTATGGTACTATATTTTGACAGAGAACGTCGACTAGAAGCAATTTTATCATAGTTGTGACATTACTTTTGGATCTACCCTCGTATTATTATTTTTTTTTTTGAGGTTTTAATTATCTTTAAGTACAGTGTTAACTAAAATCAACCTACCCTAGACAAAATTAGAACCTTTACACAGAATTTCGAGCCTGGTTTTAATTCATTTTCTTTTTTTTTGGATGTAATATGACGTTAAAAATAAATGTTAGGACAAAAGTCTACGAACTTTAGAATGATCCTCGTATATGTATAATGTCAGTTGTAAATTTATATTCACATGTTTATGCACATAGCATACTAAATGCGCTCAGAAGCCTCTTATATTACAAACAAAATAAAACATATAAGAAAAAATACGCAGGGGTGATAAGGAAGTATAAAGAATATTCCATCTTGACTAAAGCAGTGATACATTATGTCGTCATAGTAGGCAAGATGTTGTAGGAAACGTGCGTTTTGTCGGACTCAAGAACCAAACTGCATGTCTTCAGCCTTCAATTTGACTCTAGAAAATGAATAGAAACATGATAAAATTATCAATCATAATCTTTTTTTTTTATTTTGTCATAATATTTTCATTTTTATTAAAATCTACCATTGATGACCTCCTATGTATACATCAAGTAATATATTACTTGAATAATATAAAATATATTTTATTACTAATAATATTATTAATATATTGGAATATTGGTCATGTCGTGTAAAGAGAATTTAGCTAAGACGGAATGCACAAATTAAAGATATGCAAAATGGAAATTAAAATCAAATACTAGTATCGTGAATATTATGTGAATTCAGCACTTTACCAGTTTCTGCAGCTAGTACAAGCTCTAGCACGACATGGTTCCCAAATCCTTATATATGTTAAATTAAATGAATAATTACTGTGATATCACTAATTATCGTGGGGGTTTAATATTTGTTGCTTTCGAGGCAAGGAGAGCCCGATGAATTCATGTCTACCACGAAATGTAAAATTTAATATACATTACTACTAAAACATTCTCCATCCACGAAATTAAGTCCCCACCAAACAATATTTCCCTTAAACTTCGAAAATATGACCCCACGAAAATATGTGATTTTACAGTATATAAAGAAAACAGCTTTGAATAACAGTTTTGATAAAATAATTTATTGAAAAATGATTTCACCATTGTATTGCAAACATTGATTTCCAAATTATATATCTTTTTTGACATTACTTATACGTGAATATAACAAAATAACACTGAATGCCCCAGAATGACTCCGTTTTATTTAAACGAAAAAATCCCACATGACTTGATAATGTTTTCATTGTATCAATGTGTATAACAATTACATTGACGTTGTTTGACGAATTGAATGAGGTATCCATTGACAAAGCAGGAAATCTGGAAAGATGTTTTCCTGAAGTTGGGATTGCTATTTACTATTGCTCCTGCTCATTCTAATGGGTTCAGTCTATCGATTAAGGTTGTTTTCCTGTGAATGAGATCACCCTCAGTTATTGCTCCTGCTTATTCTAATAAGCTCAGGGTGTGGTTTAAGATGTTCTGCCTACAGTCCAGACGAGGAAGCAATGGGGAGGTCTACGAAAGACTACCCCTATTACCAAAATACGGTAAGTGTATTCTCCATAGTATCTTATTCTGTAGAAGATTTCATTTTCAGCAAAAAATGTTTAAGATAATGTTATATTCAGCTTTAATTGTGCTATTACAACCTATCAATCCAAGTCATAATCATGCTTTTAAAATCTTGAAATATGTACGGGAACGAGAGGCGTTGACGTGGCAAGGTGTCCTTTATGATACTTTTAGTGCCACCAAAGTGTTTATAGAATCAATTCATAAAATGTTAAATTTGGGCAGCCGTTTCAATTCTTATTAACAATCATCAACTTATATTGTAATCTATTTAACGGGTTTTATTATCTTGAACATATTTCTTTTAATTTTTTATGAGTCAAAATATATAATTTGAATTTTTATAATCATATTTTTAAAAAAGCACTTGTATAAATGTTCACGGTATGGAATAGTAAGAATAAGAATAACACAAATTTTGTGTATTCCCGCCTGTTGTAGGGTAATTATTTAGAACAACAACACAATTAAAACGCTGAGAAGGAAGTCTAACTGTTTGATGAGTGAAGCTGGTCTGTGTATTGTTCAGATGTAAAACACAATGCGCCACTATTTCATGTTGCTCCAAAATTAATTTTTAATTTCATAATAAAAGCGATGTGTTCTACTTTCTCACACGTCTTACATAATTGTGATTTACTTTAACATAAATTAGGCTCAGTTTCTTCTGACGAAGGTTACACAATTAATTCCTGGGGATTCACTGCATATTCAAAACTTTACTGTAAAAAAAAGTTCTCATAATGAAAAGACATTTACCATTTACACATGTCTTAACGGATTGATTTAGCGAATCTAAAAGTATACCTAAATAACTGCCTTTAGAAACATCATACAATTTGAGTTTTATAGGATAATCATTAAAATATTAATGGAAATGAAAGACAATTTGTGGACTTACTGATTTACAGACAGACAAATCGAAAGACGGACTTATTACTATAGAACACCAACAGATTCGTCTACGGTGGTATTTGTAATATTATTCCTATAAAAGCAATGGAAATGAATTTGAATTGTTTTTCCAGCAATCCATTTAATAACGTATTTTTCCCAAAAGAAGTAGTAAAATTAAGAAATGAAGTACTTACATGTAAACAGTCATGGTTTGCTGTTTATAAAAGTTTGCACTATATATCGATGTGTTTCTTTATACCAATAACTATATTAAGCATACACTGTATCCATACTATTAAAGTTTCAAAAGATGATCAATTTAAAGAAGGAAGATGAATGCAACAAGATTTTGAAAATCCAAAAACATCAACCAAAATCAAAAAATCATGAAAATGTCTTTGGAAATTCAAAAAAAATAACACCACAATTTGTTTGCGGATGTTCCACATTGTGTTTTAGATTAAAAAAAACGCCCTAATTTGATAAGTGAAAAATTGATACCTGTTAATCTTTAATTCACATAAATGATTACCTTCAAATTTTACGTTTGTAGCATTATTTCATTGATTTACTATTCTTGGATATGTACAACTAATTTCGAAGAAAAATTAAATCTCTAGGCTCCTTTGACTTTTTTCCCAGTGATTCGCTAATATCCACCATAGAGGGACACTGTAACATAATTTGTCCCGTTTTGTTCACACCAAGACACCGTTGTGATAAAATAGTTAATGTTTGTCAAAATTGTCAGAATCGGAGAGAAAAATAACGGGCGCTTAAAGTTCTCTGTATACAGCAGCTTTTTCATTTGTAAAATATAATGCGAGAATATGAATAGGTGACTGTAGAGATATTGAAAATGTTTCTATAAAGAGCATTTGTAAATGTTTTACTCGTTACTTTCAGTTGTTAGAGTTCGACAGTATGGGAATCACGTAGCCTTAACTATTGATGATATTGACAGAAGGTTTGATAAGGTCACGTGGGAAAGAAACGGAGCGAAAATAGGAACCAACAACCAGAAATTTCACATCATCGTGGATCTGCCAAACGTTGTCTCATTGGTAATTCATGATGTCACAGTCAATGACAGCGCCACCTATCAGTGCATATTGAAGTCTGGAAGTAAGATGGAGAGAAGTGAACTTACTGTACTCGGTGCGTACAATATCAAAGCTTGTAGTGATATTAATGTAATGACGTCATATACATGTTTACTTATCATTCATTTCCCTTCCTTTTAGAATTTTGTCCAATCAAATTAGTTGGACCTGCATTCCAGGTAAGGACAGAATTAACAAGAGCACAAATACGATCACGGTTGACACATCAACCCATCCTTTCAACGAATTGGCGAAGTCGGAACTACGTCAAGTATGACGTCATTATTAGCAGAGTTAAAACAACAAAAGATATCAATAAAGGTATGTTGTTTTTCCATCCTTACTTATCACAGCAATTGAGATATAATACATGTATATTAAAAACCACTAAGACGTTTTTAGTCTAAACTTGATTGTTAACTTCCTTATACATGTGTCATAAAAATCTTCGGACCTCGTAAAGTAAAACAAACACTGATTAATAAAATATTTTTACACTTTTTAAAATAAATTCATTTAAGAACCCTCTCTACACTGCACACTAAAAAGTTCTCATTCTAAAGTATTTTTCTGTAGTTAAAGTTATCTGCCCCTAGATCTAAATTCTTAAAAATAGAAAATTACAATATATCACTCAATTTGTAATTAATTCAAGTATTCTTAAAAATTTAAAAGGCCAGGATAAATTAACTGAACGTGTTATTTACATGTATGTTCTCTATTGAAGTAAATAACAGTGATTTCTTTTCACTGATACTGTGTTGTCTTTGAACATTTTTCCTGCGGGTGAATGCCACGCACCATACAGTGAAAATTAGATAAATAAGCTCAATATTAACTATGTTTTTAAGGATTATTTGATATTTTTTAAATAATAATAATATAATTTATAACCATTACTTTCTTTTTATATATCTTTAGATCCTTTCTGTCAGACCACAGAAACAGCCATCACAAGAACTCTTCACTACGGCGTCCTCTTAAGTAAAAACTCAAGGCTTCACTGGAAGGCCCTTAAAGGTATGTCTGTAATCAACGATATTTATCAGCGATTCCATAATACGACAGTACATACAAGGACACCCCAGGAATTCAGGAAAAAGTGCAAGGCATTATCAACTCTCAAGTGTTCCGAACGTCACGTGACCTTTGCCTCTGATGACGTAGAGTTCGCGACTCTGTGGACATTCTTACAACATGGTAGCATTACAATCAAGATGGATGCGTTGTTTGAAAGTCGAAATTTAATGATTGTGAGGAGATACTTCAGGAGTGACAGGTACAGACCAGAGGAGAACGAGAAGTGTGTCTGTTTACCGGGAATTTATCGTGAAACACTGAAATCTAAAACTGTAGAATTCAGAGCATGTCACAATAAACCACGACTTGGCTGAAAATTACTCACTGTTTTAAGAAAAAAGACCAAATGGCTTTAAGAAAATGAAAGCACGCACTTATGAAAGACCTTTCTGTGCATTTTCTTTATATGGTTTTCAAAGATCACATATTTGTATCCTGTTGAGCCGTATATTTATCTCTAGATTATTGCAGGATATTTTTTGTTTCATAACTTCATCTAAAAACAGACTCTTTTTTATTTATTTCTCATGTTTGATATTCATATACTACACATAAGTTCAAAAACAATGCATTATAAATTCATCAACTGGTCTTCAAACAAATGCCCTATCTGCAATTTTTCTTATTGTACTGTTTATGAGAGTTGAACAATGTCACAGCCTATAAGACAAAAAAGATACTCATTATGTTTATTATAAAACATTGAATCATTGGATGTAAGGATATCTAAAATTAAAATAAATGGTATCTATGTCTTCAAGTTCATTGAATATGCAGAATCAAGTTTTGCGGATCTATTTCTAAAGAGAGGTTGGATATCTACAAATAAGCCGATGATATAAACATACCGTATAAGTGGAAATTTTAGCGAAACGCACATTTAGCAATTTTACCTTAAAACACGGTAAATTATTTTTAGCGAGATGTAATTTTAGCAATTTTTAAAAAAAAAACTCACTGAAAAACCTATTTAAAATAAACTGATGTTAATAATTAGCGATATTAAATTTTAGCGATCTGTACACCCTCGCTAATAATGCCCAAATTAAATCCTCGCTAAAAATTCTACTTATACGGTATCAAGATAGATATACAAGGATATCAAGAATCTCCTTTAAAGTAAAAATTTCGCAAATTCTATGGTCAATAAAGAAAGCTCATTTGCAGCTACAATTTACTGTTAAGGCTAACGTTAACTGATCCCTTTCATACAAATTGTTAGGCCATTATTTTCACATTGAATTATATACGTTTTTTCTCCTTTTGCAAACATAACAAAGCACACATCAGGTGTGACCAGTCGACAGAGAATGCTCGCTCCTCCATAGCACCTGACCCCATCTTTGAATTCCGGAAATCGTGTTTAATTTGCTCATGAGCCTGTGCGGACTTAACTGGCTAGACAAATATTTGTAACTTGAAGTTTCATAAAATCATCATATAAACCCCCTATATCCTAACCATGTATTAAAAGTACAGATGTGAATTTAAAACTCTCTTTTTGAAGTAAACCATATAAAAGCGCTCTTTTAGAGGTAAACTTAACAAACGTCGAAGACATGGTTTACGGCGATTTCTTGCATATCAACAGATAGTCAAGGTCACGCGTTTTTCATCGTTTGAATACATAGTCAGCCCACCTTTGTCGACTGTTCTTAAGAAATTGTAGTTGTATATGGAACAAAATAATGTCATATTAAAAGGAGAAGAGCCGACAGACTTAATTTAACAAAAACATGTTGAAAACAAACTTCTCGCTCTTATTGTTATGACTTCGATTGACTTATTAAATATTTCAATTCAACATGTGATGTCCAACTGCTAGTGTACTCGTGAAAATTGTTTTCTTTAAATTGACCTCGATGTAAATCACTATGTTTGGTTGCTGTTTTGAGAATTTGGCAAATTAATTTCTTTTTTAATTTCGCAATTGCCTATTCACGCATGTAAAAAAATCATAGTGACATACATATATTATAATATAATATGCCAAACACGTGTTCGAATTTCTAGCGAGAAAGAGAGAGGACAGAAGAAGAGAAATGTCAACAAATACGCTGACCGATAGGCCTGCCTCCTATCATTATTTATTCCGTGACCTAAAAACTACTCCGGATACTTGTCAAAAATCAAAGACTACACAAATGTATTGTTGCTTCAATTTTTACTCATGACAACAAGGCATTGCTTTTGTGCTAATGTTCTACCTAGAATTACCCTGTATGCCTTGTTCTTTCTATTGCTTGTAATATCACCACTACAAATGTTATTGTGATTTAAATTCAAGACACGTGGCTTAGGTTGATCTATTCAAAGGTTATAGGGTAGAACCGGTTTTATAAATAAAATTGGCAGTAAACTTGATATTGCTATAGCCTGTTTCTTTTGAAAACATGTCCTATGATAAATGTTTCCAGACCTTTCTCAAACACTTTCATGATTTTCAACAGAAAAAGGGTGGCTAAAAGAGGGGTGTAAAAATAACAATATATCTTATACTTTTCGGCGAAAATAAGGACTCACTAGTGACCGATTCGCTGGTAAAAAATGTGCATTATCATCTACACTGACAAACCTTTGTTTGCCTTATACGGCTATTGTTATAAATGCGCACAGAGGATCTTACCACGAGCAACTGACCAATCATTGAATGAATTGCAACGTTTACGCCAAATGTATGTTTACATATTTTACTTCGAACACGTAGTTCAGGTCAATCTATGATCATGTTAATTAATGGACTTCAAAAAACAAAGTTCTTCAAAGGTAAGGAAAACGAGCAATATCGCTTGTGCATTTAAATGGACTAAACTTTGTTTACATTCGTGATCACGTGTTCGGCCAGGGAATTCACCTGGCAATTGTATTCACCGGTAGTACAACAAAGGAATTAATACAGACGCAAATCGCTTTTGCAGTATGACTTTCAGAAACCTAGACTTCCGCCGTTTATTTAACAAATGAATTGTTTGTCATTATGAGCATGTAAAAATGCTTTTCATTTACCGTAAGATTTTCCTTTTTTTTCAAGCGTAAAATTCCAGTAGTATTCGTAGTAACCCATAATGCAATACTCATTCAGCTGATTGGTCAGTTAAAATCAAGCTGGTGCCCAATTTGCTAATCCGACGCCAAAAAAATATAGTCCCGGTTCCCATTCAAAAATATTTGTCCAAAAAGAAATTTTAATTCATGACTACAGAAAATTGTATTATAGAGAATATTTATTGAAGTTTGAATGAATGTAAAAGAGATCGATTGATTGAAGTACATATCTACAGACATTATCAGCTGATTCTAGGGTGGTGAAAACTGAAACGCAACATAACTTTTCTGTTTACCATGCCTCCACGTGCTAGTCACTTCCTAGCCAGATTTCCGTGAATAATTTACCCTATCTCGCTGAAGTCTCGCTAACTCTCGCCAGAGCCACCGCCAGAGCTACTCTGCACTCATCGGGTTTTATAATTTGCAGAACACAGAAAAAAAAGGTTCCGAACACATTAGTAGGGGTGAATATATTTTGGATTGACTTCATTTATAGGTTAGTAGAGTAGTCGCAAAAGATCCAAAAATAGGGTATTAAGGCCATCCATTATTTGTATCGTTTGATTGGACTTTTGGCATTGTTACTGTTCTTTTCACTTCATTTAATTAAGTGAGTAAAAAATAATTCATTACATACAGGTGAGATTACACCAACGCACCATGTTTAGCCCATGCAGTTAATTTTGCTTTGGTTTTATCCCCATTCGGCACGGTTCAAACTTCAATAGAAAGGATTGAACAACAAATAGTGACAATAAATATCTCTCAGACATCCCTCAGTTGATTCGATACGCAAGACCATGCTCTATTTATGAACATTTTCTAAAACGAGGAAATTTCTTCACAAAAAAGTTGTGTACAAAATATAAGTAGCCGGTATTTTGTAAGTTCTATGATCGATTAAATGACCTTGTCAGTAATTACAATCTATGTTTAATTCAAGTACTGATTGCGCAATTTTCTGATCATGTCAATGAGCACATTTTGCATACCAATTGCTGGGCAATTTTCTGACCATGTCAAGGAGCACCTTGCGGGTGTGACCGGTCGACAAGGGATGCTCACTTCTGCATGGCACCTGAACCCACCTCTGATGTTTTAGAGTTTCTTGTTTGCCCAGTGCCTGATTTGTTTTGTTTAAAGAATTTAATACCTTGAAGTTGTTGCTATTTCCACATATTTCTTTTGAACAAATCACTCTCAATTAATGGCTTAATCCTGGTCCATATAAAGACTTCACACAGATTGGAGAGTAGATTGGTTTAAAAGAATTTCTAATATTAACTGGATAGCATACAATAAAGCACCGATCCAATTTGAGGAAAAAAATAACCAATAATAAAAGGCCAAATAGCAACTGTGAACAACGTCCATCTTCTTTTTGTTTTTGTTTTTTTTTTTTTTTTAGATTTTTAAAGCTCCCTTCCCTTCCCCCAACCAATTCTATATTTTGGCCCCAGTCAAATACAAACGGATATTTATTGACTGAACTAAACTTGAATTCATACAATATGTAAAAGCTTTAAAAGTTTGTTATCCGTTTCTTTCCCTGTGCATGCATGATGATGACTTTTTTGTTAAATTTCAACCCTTCTAAATTAGGACATATTTTTTTTGCAAATGTATAGGATAAAAGCTTTCAAAAGTACAGTCATGATGTGTCATGCAAATATGAAAGCATCCTCAAGACGTGCATTTTTCAATTGAAAGGGATGTATAAATATACATTCATATTTCTTGCTGGAACATTCAATGTGTGATGAAAACATTTTTTAAGAAATAACAAACATATTTATTGAAATTTTTTACAAATATTTTTATCAATTGAATAATACAGAATACAATTCATGATTAATTTTCATGTTTATAATTTTTCATGATCATATTCAAAATGTAATATTTTTTTTTATTTTTCAAGACGCTTTATTTTGAAAATCCGAAATTGAAATCAGTTCCAAATTGATGGGGGTTGTCACAGTCTGAAAATAAAATTTAAATATGTGTCATTAGAAAGAAAAGAAATTATGATGACCAGACCAGAAATTCAACCAGCGATTAGACCCGTATAAACTTCACTTATGTTTTTGAAAATTTTATTTAAAAAAAACAAACCTGTTTAAAAGTTAATATAGAGTATATTATTTTGCTTTAATATTTTTTTGTACATTGTAAGCCAGACCCATGTGGTTTTAATCTTCTTCCTCTTTTTGTTTGAGATTCTGAGCTCCTTCTTCTCGAAGTTCTCTTTTATCCACACCTTAAAAAATATACTTAAAACTGTGACATTATTACATTGAATATGACCGTCTAAAAATACCAAAGTTCAATATAAATAATTATGAAACAGCAGAATATTATCGATCAACAGTCCACTATCATTGAGCAACAGTACAGTTATATTAAATTAACTCAGCGTCATTTTACTTTACGTAATCAAATAGTTTATAATTTTACCTTTCAGAAAATATGTAGGTTGCTTTATGTTAAGATGACTAGAAAATGTCGAAATATCTATTCAAAAGTTTTTAGTCGATTTAGCTGTAAAACGCAAAATCTCAGGTAGTTAAAGGGTTAACATACTCGCTGGAAAGGGCTGCAAAAGGGAAATTTGAAAATGTGCTAACATGATATATAAATTCCAAAAAACTATTTAATTTTGAGGCCGTTATTAGGTGCTTTACCTCCAGCATTATGCCATGTTTCTGCAGCTAG